TGGGCGAGGTGGGCGGGCCAGGTGGCGCTTGGCCCACCGACTTGGCGTCGCATCTCAACGACAAGCTGGCGCTGTGGGCGAACAGGCAACAATGCCAGTTCGGTGGTGTAGCTCGTCCGTTGCACAATGCGTCGCGCGCAGCGTAATTTGCGAAAGTGTGCTTCGTGCTCGGCAGCGTTCGCCGCGCGATACGTCGCGGCGGTCGGGGCCGCCAGCGGCGCGGCGCGGGCTGGCGGCGCCGCCTCCGATGGAAGCGCGCGGGGCGCGTTCGCGCGCGGGGGCGCGACGGGCCGCCGCAGAGGTGGCGGCCGACGGCCGCGATGGCTGCTGCAACGGTTTGGCGCGCAAGCGGCTTGGCGCGCGCGCGGGCGCGAAACGGCGCGCGGTTGACGGTCGGCGGCGCGGGAAGGGCGTCGTCGCCGACGTGCTTCCACGTGCCCGCGGTGCCCGCGCGTGCGTCATTCGTGGTCGGGCGTCTGCGCCATCAAGCGCAGGTCCGCGCGCGCGTTGGACGTGCACGTCTGAAGCCCAGTGGCTTTCGGCGTCGCTGCGCTCGCGCAGCGGCCTCGGCGCGCCGCGCCGAGGCGTCGGGCGCGCGTCGGCGCGGCCGTCGCGCAGGGCGCAGTGCGTCCCGCGCGCATCGATTCGGCAAATCGGATTTTCGAAATCGCCCCGCGCAGATCGACGGGGGATTTTTTTTTTACTGTCGGGGGGAAATTTCTCTACTACGGAGGAAAATCGGATTTTCCAAATCGTTCCGCGGAGGAACGCACAGCCGCGCCCGCCAGCCATGTCGTCCTGCGCGGGTCGGCAAGCCCCCCCCCCCCAGCTGGACCGCGCAAGTGCGGCCTGTCCTGGGCGGTGGCCGACGGCGCCCGAGTGCGCTTGCGTTTGAACAGGGGTTGCCAGCTAGATGCGTTGATGAGAGAACGGCCGATGTGGCTTGACTACATAATATCATCTTAGGCACCGAACTGGTCCGACATTTTGCAAAGTACCCCCCCCCTGCGCGTTTCTCCCGCCCAGGTTCTCTCCCTGGCAATTCTGGCGCAGGTTGCCAGATTCGCTCGCGGTGGCGCTTGCGTCGGGGGACAAGCTGCCGCGACTGGAATTCATCAGCGGGCGCTTCGCGCCCCGCTGCCGCGCGGTGCATCAGCTGTCGTCGCCGCGCCCTTCTCGGGCGCGCCCGCGCTCGGACGCGCGGGCGCCCCTCGCGGGCGCCGGCTGCGGGCTTGCTCGGGGGTCGCGCGCGCGCGCCCGCTCGGGCCCGCCATGTTGAAGTTTTGTTGGCGCTCGCGGCGGTCTGCGCGGACGGGTGCCGCCGCGGCTCAAGGGCGCGCGCCGCGTGAACTCTGCGCGGCTGGGCCCCGAGTGGCAAGGGCCAGCCGCTGGTTCGCGATGGCTTGGTCGAGGCAACGGGCCCCCGCGGGCGCGGGGCGGCGCGCGTCGGCATGGGGTTGCGCATGGGCGGCAGCGCGGGAGGCGGGCGCGAGATGCGGCATGGGCGCGGGCGGGGGGCGGGGCCAGCGGGGCGACCGAGGCCAGGGGTGGGGTGGCGCGCTTGCAGTGCGCAGCGGGGGTAGGCGTCGCGCGCCGAAAGGGCAGTTGGCTCTGCGCTCGCTGATGTGCCAGCGCGGCAGTCGAACGCGGCGCGGCGGCGCGGCGCGCCCTCCCTTCATCTGCGCGCGGCGGCTGCGCTTGGCGCCAGGCATGTCGCAGCTACCCTCGCAGCGCCGACGCCGCGGCCGCGCGCGCTCGTTCGGCGCGCCCGCGCCGCGGCGGCCCGCTGGACGGCGGCAGCGGGCAAGCCGCCCCCGCCGCTCGGGCGACCAGCGCGCGCCGCGCGCGGGAAGGCCCCCAATGCGAGACTTATGCTTGGGCGTGCAATGTCGGGTGCGGGAAGCTTCTTGCGCCGCTTCTTATCGGCGCGCTGAGCGCGCGCCCACGGTGGCGCTCGCGCGCCCAAGGTCGCGCTCGCGCGCGCCGAGCGCCTCGGTGAGGGAGCTGGCCGCGCGCGCCCATCAGGGGGCGCCTCGCGCCCTCGCGCAGCTTCCTCGCGGCGCAGCGCACAGCGCATCCAAGCGGGAAGCGCTGGGCGTTCTCCGATCGGCGCGGTTAAGGACAAGGCTGCGGCAGCGGCGGCGGCGCGCGAGCGGGCGGGTGCGCCGCGGAGGGCACGCGCGCGGTTTGGCCGTCGCGGGCGCCGACGCCACGGCCGAAAGACGGCGCGTTCGCGGTGCGACCCGACGTTGCGAGCACGGAACAGCGAGCATTGGCGTTGGCCCATGGAGCTCTTCGGCCACAGCTCGTCGGGAGGTCGAACTATGCTGGCAGCGTCTAGCTGGCTCTTCGCGGCAGCGCGCCGCGTCCCGCGGCGGGCCCGACGTGCGTCGACAATCTGGAACGCGCCCGCAAGGCGGCAAGGGAGGGCGCGGACAGCCCAAGCGGCCTCGAGGCTGCGACGACAACGGCCTGCGCGAAAAAGGCGCGGTGAACACGAGAGGTTGGATCTGTCTGCGCAGCGTCGGCGCCTCGCGCGCGCGTCGGTTCGGCTGGGTCTGCCAATGTCGCGCGCGGCGGGGCGATTGCCAGGTCTGGTTGCCGCGCGAACTGCATCGGCGCGCGTGGCCAGCGAACGGACATTGTAGATGTCGCGGCTTCGTCATAGCAGCTTGGCCCGCGGCGATGCGCATTTTCTGCCGCGCTCCAGGCTTCTTGCCAAGGCTGTTTGCGTCAATTGGGCTTCGGGCCTCTTTTGCTGCGCTCTTATCGCCCGCCTGCGCGGCGGGCCTTGAGGGCGCGCCCTCTCGGGCGGCCCCGACGGGGGCTGCCATCTGTGACTTAGCGGTGCGTTGCACCGACTAACCCAAGCGCGTTGCGTCCGTCTTTCGTGCTAAGTAATCACGGACATCTCGATGCGGTTTCAGAGTAGCTTCGATATTGGTAGGCAATGACAACTACAGCGAAAGTCGCGAGCAATGGGCCAGCCTTTTGGCGCGAAAGAGCGAAGCTACACTCGCGAGGGGCATCGCCACGGACACCCACTGTCCTTGCATGGGGGAGCTAGTAGCCACGACACTAACACGCCCGCCGACGGTCAACCACGCGTCATGCGTCGGGTCCGTCAGGCATGCGTGACGGGGCGTGCGTTTAGTCATTTGTTGCCCCCGAATATTAAAACACACCCAGTGAGTGTGCGCGGCAAGGTGCATTCAAGGTCGAACGCCAAATCCTGTCCGACGCCTTGCATCATACATGTCCTTCAGAGCAGCCCCCTTGGATGTTGAAGGCGGTCGGTGCGCATGTCCGTCATATTTGTGCGCCGAGGTTCCAGAGCCCCATCACCTTCGCACTTGCAGTTTTTTAGCACGAGGCCTCTTTCAATGTGCGTCTCGGTAGCAGACTCCATCTCGTCATCTTTCTCAGCGGCATTCGCCTTTTGCTGCTGCATGCGGGCGATTGTATTCCTCAGGTTGATGACTCGGCGCTTCGGGCAAGACCGTGCAGCTGCGTTTGTAAACGATGGCGTCTTGCACCGCCTTTCTGAAGCGCCTCCAGGTCACTGGGCGCAGCGATCCCACGACGCGCGGAGAGTGCCCGCGCTTCTTGGCCGCAGTACAGAGGGAAAGTCAGATGATGATTCGTCCGCGCGAGCCAGTGTGAGAGACCGAGCTCGTTGGCTCTGTCTTCAATCTCCTCGCCCACTCTGGACGCCCTTTCTAGAGGATATGCACCACCCTTTCTTTCCTCAGCTCCCCCCTCTTTGCATACTTGCATTATTGCACGGTTTATTCTAAGCAGTTCCGCACATTTGCTTTCCGATTGCGTCTCGAAGGCGAGGGCCCAAGCCCAAGCACTCTGTGCGAGTGATCGCTGGAGATTTCCGCTCTCCTTCCTCCGATCGTCGACGTTTTGGTCGCGGTCGTTTCTCTGGTCGTGGTCCAGGCCTTTCATCGAAGGACCATGAGCTTGCCAAGGTGCCCTGAAAATTGGTATGTTTTGGAAGCCATCCCACACCAATCTGGGTTCGTGCGCGCGTGCAGCTCGCCCCACAGAGTCTATGGAAGGTGGCATTCTTGGAACTTCAGGAAGAGGGGCGCGATGTCTTATCTTCGGGAGGGGTTCGCAGAGAGCTCCATATGGCGTAGAAGGGGGAACCAATAAAGGGCCCAGCCTCCTCCCAGCGTCTTGCGTCTGAACCATTAGTCCACGGGTCCTGCATCTACAGTCTCAGGACTTTTCGGGGACAACGCCTACAACAGTTTTCAAATAATAGCTTGCTCGGTCATCCGTGTGCGCGTCCAGCCGGCAGAAGGCTCACACATTGGAGCTTGGGCCATGTTTGGACAGGAGGGTCATAGCAGGGGTTGTTCAGAAGCCATCTCTGAAGTTGAACGCCAACCGCTGGCAAGATGTCTTGCCTCTCTAGGTTGTGGGTGTAGTCCAACGTTGCTCCCGCTCGATGTGCGTGACCTTTGCCATCGATAACGCCATATACGAGCATCTCATGTTCGCTTGGCCCACCCCTTCTTCTGTGGTCAACAACTGCTTCGGCGCGTAGGTATGTGGGGGGTCCAAACAAACAAACAAAGTGACAACGCTCCGAGTGCCAAAAAGCAGGGGTGTGACCCGCAGTGTGCCCATTCTCGTTAGCGTGTCTTTGTGGTGTCTCTCGCCCTGCGCCTCAAGTCATCGGATTGCGTTGCATGTGGTACGCAGTTGCAAATATGTGTGTTTGCATTGCATTGGAGGGCGGCGATGTCCTGGCGTTCCGCATGGATGTATAGCGGGGCCTAAGTGCCATGAGACATGATGCTGTTGTTGGCAAGTGTCGATGTCAATGCGATGGTGATGATCATGGTGATGGAAGCCGTTTTGGCTTTGACAGCGTACTGGCGCACATTCACCAGCGAGGCTGGCCCGCTGTGTCAGCGGCGCGGGGTAGACTCCAACCCGCGGTGCCTCCTTCAGCGGCTTGCTTCTGGGCTCCTCGCGGGCCGATGGGGGGCAAGAAGGCTGCGGCCACTGACGACGGAGCGTCTGCACCGCAGGCGAAGCGTGGCAAGAGGGCCTCCTCGACAGTAGCTGGATGTGCTTGCGGGTCCTGCGGCGAGAAGTGCCTGCCATATTGCTCCAACTGGGCCGAGAAGGAGCTTCAGGTGGACGCGAGGAATAACAATGTCATGGTTCCGATCGGGCCCGTGTGCGAAGGATGTGCCGTCTTCGCCGCCTTGAGGTACATTGACGTCGCCGCCTTGTGCAAGGCGAAGCAGCAGGCTGATGAGAAGGGCAAGCCGAGTCCATACCAGAAGGACTTATCAGAACACAAGGCTTCGATCATGCATCCCCATTCTCCGACGCCATGGGGCAAGTGCGAGGTCTATAAGGAGACGATCGGCGGCGTGTATGTCGAGGAGGCCGCGGCGTTCGAGAACAAGGACTCCTTCCATCAGACCTACGGGGTGGCCATGGAGGACGTCAAGTTGGCTGGATTGAGGCGTGACTTCCCTGGTGGCAAGGCCGAGTCGGGCTTGCTGCGGCCCTGCGGCGCCTCCGATGCCACGAGCAGTGCTGGTGCTCCAGCACCGAAGGTGGTGAGGTACCTGAGCACCCGCATCGTGATGAGGCAGCCTCTCATGAAGCAGCGCACGTTCGAGTCGCAGAGCCAGGTGACCTTCGACAACGAGTTGCAGCGGGTTCACGACATGTGGGGCGGTGCGTTCGCGAGCAAGTACCAGCCGAGGAACAAGGGCATCAAGACTTACACCGACGAGCAGGTCAAGGAGGCCGTCGAGGAGTTCGAGCGCAAGAAGGAGTCCCAGAAGCACCAGGGCCTGCCGACAATGCACGGGGTTGCGGCAGCCGCGCGTGCACCTTCAGCTTCGCCGCCTCCGAGTGGAGCTGGCCGGCCTGGTGCCGGAGGGTGCAGCGGGGCAGCGAGTTCTGGAGGAGGAGGGGCGCCGTTCGTCTTCCCGATGGCTACGAAAGCATCCCCGAGAACGGCAATGCTGCTCAGGCTTCAAGACGGGACGCCAGGAGACGATACCAGGTCGGTGCTGTCTGGTGTTGATGGTCCTAGTGCAGCAGCTGGCAGCAACGCGTCTCGCCGTGGCTCTGGCAGCCCCGCCCCCTCAGCGGCAGGCGCCGACGCAGTGTGGCCAGTGGCGGCGCAGCTGGCCGACTTGGACGCTGACTGCCACGACGACTGCGACATGGGGGAGACGCAGGCTCGCATTCGGTCGCCAGATTTCTGGTGCAGCGTCTGCACGGTCGCGAACGCCTTCGCCAGGGATCCCAAGCTCACCAGGCGCATGCAGTGGGCTCGCAACTGTGTCAAGCGCCTGCTTGGAGCCGTTGCGACTACGCTTCAGGCGCGGTGGTCTTCCTCCCTTCATCCGTTTCCTCTTATCTCTCCTCCTAAACCTGCTCTCTTCACCTCCTCCTTCCCGTCCCCCTTCCTGTCCTCCTTCTCCTCCTTCCTCAGCGCCTGCATCATTATCCTCCTTACTCTCCTTCCTACTCTCCTCCTTTCCCGCATTCCTCATTACTGTCCTTCCTCAGTGTCTGCGTCGCTCTCCTCAGCCTCCCCCCTACTCTCCTTCCTCAGTGCCTGCGTCGCTCTGCTCCGTCCTCAGCTTCCTGTCCTTCCTACTCTCCTCCTTGCTCCTCTTCCCCTCCCCCCATCGTGTCATCCTATCATCGTCCTTCACCTTCTCCTTCTCTGGCTCGTCTCGCCTCTTCTTCTCCTCGTTCCTCCCATTCTCCTTTCCGTTATCCTTAGTTCACTGCTCTCCGCAGCCAGCCCCTGTTCCATTTCGTCGCAGTTGTTTCGTATTCTTGCCCGCTTCCCCCGTGCAGGCTGGCAGATTGGAGACCTTCTTGGACAAGACCGACGCCGCGATCGCCCTGATGGACGAGCTTGCAGCGAACCCCTCTGGCAGCGAGAGCTTGTGGAAGGCTGCTCGCGCGCTCCACGGGATGAAGGTCGAGTGCCCAGACCATGTGGTCGTGAAGCTCACGCGCGCGCTGGCCTGCCAGAACATGCTCCTCGTCTTCGCGAAGGCCGACGAGGATGGCGCTCTACTGGCGAACGTCTCCGACGTGGTCGCAGTGGCGAACCCGTTCAGGAGCATGGGCGACAACGTCGTCGGCGGGGAGGCGCACTCGGACAGCTTGCAGGAGGACGCGGACGTCCAGCTCGTCGCGGATTCGCCAGGGTTCGATCTGCTCAGCCCCAGGGTTTCCCACCTCCGTCTTGGGCTCAACGAGAGGGTCCTGGAGTGTGGCAAGGTTGTTGTCAACGAGCTGATCCCCATGGTTGCTCAGCGCGGGGAGGATGCCCTCGGAATCATGCTCTCGCTGTGCACGTCCTTGGAGTCGACCTTCGAGGCTGCGCTCGAGGATTTGGATATGGTCCCTGAGGCTACGCGCGATCTCCTGGATGCGATCCGCGCTGTCATTGGAGTCGTGTCCAGCACTCCTGCGTCGCACCATTTTGCTGCGCTCCAGACGGCGACGAAGGAGTTCCAGGACAAGATGGAGGCCATCAGAGCCAATGCCATGCTTGCCCTCTACCGCGGTGACTTCTACAAACGCAGGGCCATCCACGTGTTCAAGCATACTCCCGACATGGCGTCTGCAGTGGAGACGATGGGCGCCGCGATGAAGGCTATGGATAGGTCGAGCGGTTTCGGACCAGATGGCGTTGAGTTCACCAACACCTTCACCTCGTCCTTGGTGCAGCTTCAGCGCGCACAGCAGGTATTGACGCCAGGTGCTACCAAGCAGTGGGAGATCACGCTCGTTCACAGTTTGCAGCGCGCCTGGGAGTCGATCGGCACTTCTAAGGGCGTCGTGCTCACGAAGATCGAGGTGGAGAACTTGGATCGCTGCGCGGAGTCTGCGAAGGACGTGTGGCCGTCCGAGAACGTGATCGACGACATTATCATCTGGTGTGCCTCTACTGCGCAAGCCGTGGCTGCGACTGAGCGTGACGAGACAGTCTCTGCCAGCATCTCGGTTTGCTTCGACCCAGAGTTTGATGTTCAGAAGTTCGTTGACGCCCTCAAGGCGGAGAAGCAGAAGAAGTGCCCGAAGTTTGCAGATGACTCCAAGGTCGGCGCGCTGCTCAAGCGCGGGGTCGCCGCAGTGCACGTCCTTTACCAGACTGGCGATGTGACGCAGACACTTCTAGGTGAGGCGGTCGTCCTCGCGGAGTCGGTATTGCATCCGAGTGACCTCGGACAGGGTTGGAAGGCATTCGCATCGTGCTTGCAGCTGGAGGCCGACATCGCCCTCACCTTTGAGACCATGCAGGAAAGCGACTTGATCGACGCCCAGGCTGCCGATGACCCCGCGGCCATGATCAAGCGCCTTCTCGCCCAGATGGTGGAGTACGACAGGCACTCGTGTTCTCTGCCAGAGGAGCTCCACTCGAAGAAGATGAGCGACGCGTTTGGTGAGTACAAGCGGTGCACTTCGGAGATCAAGAATGCTCGCGCCAACGATGCCCTTGAGAACCTGACCACTGCGATGGCCGGCAACAAGAACCGCCAGCATGGCGGAGAGGACGGCCAGAGTTGGCATTCCAGCCTGGCGGACACCTCGACGTTGACCGACTGCTTCGACACCTGCGCCGAGTCGTTGTTCCAGCAGCCCGACTTGTATGTGCAGGCGGAGCGGATCCAGAAGGCGGTGCAGAGCTACCAGGACGCCTGCCACCTCGTCGGGTTGCCGACGGACGCCGACATCATCAAGGATGCTGGCGTGATGGTCTCTGCGCTAGGGGTCACGCGCACGGAGGCGCTGCTGTTGCGCCTCTTCAACATCGACGGTTTGGCCCAGTGGGGGCCCGAGGAGCGCGACACGAAGACGCGCCAGATCAAGCGCGAGTGCCAGAAGTTTGGCAAGTGGCAGAGTGTGTTCAAGCCCATTAGGGATCGGGCCGCGGAGGCCATGAAGAGGAAGTAGGAGAGGTGCGAAGGGCCATCGACGCCAACATCGCGGGTGATGCTAAGGTTTAGCGCGGTAGATTCCAGAGTGAGGCCCCCCACGGGGGCCTCGATCACGGTCCCACTATTAGAGTCTACCATTGGCCTCGGCATTGCCCTCGATCGTGGCTTCGGTGGGCCCTGTGGGGAATACCTCGCCTGGCATCTGGTGGAAAGCGTTGAATGATGATGGTGGGTACGAATAGTAAGGATGAGACTAACAGAAAGAGAATAATAAGTCATGAGGGTATAACAAAACAAACCCATGTTTAAACGCACGTGTTTCTACCAGATAGTGTTTAAGAGCGGCTCCGCTGCCAGCGGAGCCCGAGGTGTCAGAGCGGTGCAGTCCGTCGCACCGCCAGCCTTGGAAAAGCGACGGAGCGGGAGAAGGGTGGTTGAGGGCCGTGGAAGGCCCGAGGAGAGGAGGGAGGGAGGAGGAGGGGCAGAGGAGAGGAAGAACGGAAGGGGAGGGAGGAAGACGAGGGAGGGAGGAGGGGGGAGGAAGGAGGCAGGAGCCCCCCGCCCCCGCCGCCCGTCCTTCGGGCGCGTCCTGGACACGAAGGCCAGCCACCGCCGCTCCAACCCGCCAGGAGGGAGGAGGACGAGGAAGGAGGAGTGGCAGGAAAAGGAGCGAGGAGGAGGACACTAAGTGAAGGAGGGGGGAGAGGAGAGGGAGGAGGAGGAGGAGGGAGGAGGAGGAGGGGGAAGGAGAAGGAGGGGGAGGAGGAGGGGGCACGAGGAGGAGGAGGAGGCGGAGGAGGAAGGTGCCCTCCTCCTCCTTATCCCTCCTCCTCCCCCTCCCCCTTTCACTCCTCCTCCTCCTTCTCCGCGCGCTCGTGCTCGCCCCCCCTTTTGGTAAAGCCACCCCTCCTCAAACGAGTCGGCGGTGTCTGACCCCCGCGAGCACCTGCGAGCACCCACCCACCCCCACAAGCACCCACGAGCATCCACCCACGAGCAACGACCGATGACAATTTCTAAAAATTCAACCGAAATTGTAAATCCACGCAGTACGATTGCAGGACGATTGCGGGTCGATTGCGGGTCGATTTGCGCGCCGCGCGCGAAACGGTTGCGGGTCGCCAGCGGATCGATTTGAAAATCTATGCAGGACGACCCGCGGGTCAAAATCAGGACGCCTTGCAGGGCGATCGCCCCCCCCCCCCCCCCTGTAGCAGACGCCGCCGACTCGGCCCCAAGGCCACCCCTGGGGACGTGCGAGTCTTGGGCTGTGGGAATGTCACCCGCCGCATGGTGGGCCGCAGCGCGGCCAAGGTCCATCGCAAGGACATGCGGGCGGCGGTGGGGGACCAACAGTTCGGCCTGGCTAAGGGCGGCTGCGGTGCCCTCCACCGACGCCTCTGTGCGATGGCCAACTCGGGCCCTGGCATGTGGGTGGTGGCGGTGGACCTCGGGGATGCGTTCAGCAACATTCCCCGTGACCTCGTTAAGGAGGCCGTGCGCTCCAAGGTGCCCGCCCCGGCGCCGCTGGCGGAGGCCTGGCTCCCTGCTCGCACGCGCCACGTGGCGGGTGGTGGGTCCCAACCTGCCCAACTGGTCGACCAAATCCGCGGCCTCGACCAGGGCTGCCCGATGAGCCCTGGCTTCTACGCGGTGGGCACTGCGGATGACCTCAGCATCGGTCGCATGGCCGTGCGCGCGGTGGACGTCGAGGGGGGCTGCCTGGCGTTCTCGGACGACGCGTACTTCGTGGGCACCGCGGCTGCGGTGTTCCGCGGCTTGGGTGCCTGGCGAGCCCGCATCGAAGCCCATGGGATGAAGCTGAAGATGTCCAAGACCCAGATCTGGTCCCCGGACCCTCGCGCTGTCCTGCCGCCGGAGTTCGCGGAGTACGCCCAGTGCTGCGTCCCGAAGCTCAAGGCGGTGGGGTCTACTCTGGCCTACACAAACCACGACGTGGATGCTGACTGGCGGGGCGCCCCGCTCACGGACTTTGCCGCCCCGGAGGACCTCGACGCGGGCGGCCTCGCGCCGGCCGGCGGTGCCGGGGTCGCCCCGGGTGCCGCCATGCCATTCCCGTGCGGCGAGGCCTTCCTCCAGAAGCAGGACCGCTACTTCCGGGAACTCCTGACGCTCCGCACGCGCGGGCTGTCTGCCTTTGACGCCTTCCAGTTGATGCGGATCTGGTCGAGGGGCGCCTGCGTCCACATCCAGCGCGCGCTTCCGCTCGCGGCGGCGTGGGGCCGCCGGGTGGATGACGGAGTGGTCGCCTTCGCCAACGCCCTTCTGGGGGTCACGGCCGCCCCCCGAGAGCAGATCTTCATGAAGGCCAGCGACGGAGGTTTGGGCTGTGGCAGCGCCGAACAGCGCGGCCCCGCTGCCCTCCTGGCGTCCTGGGAAGCCGGGATCCACGCGGCTGCCCAGGAGTTCCGCGAGACGACAACGATTGGCCTCTGGCGGCGGTGGCCGGGCCTTGGCCGCGCCCTCTCGGCGGCGGACGCGGAGCAGGGACGGTT